GGATCCGAAAGGGAGTTTTACATGTTTGGTCACCAGATGGACGTTATTTTATGGCTGCCATCACAGCTCCAAGACTCCAAGTCGACAATGGGATCGCCATATTTTTCCACAATAGCTCAACTTTAATGGATTTATTTCATGGTAGCCGAGCATGGGCATGGTCTCGTCGGTTGGAGACACGATAATACCGGATTCGAGGGTGAATCATTTTCAACAGGGGGAGAATGATAGAGACGAGATATTGTCTAGCATCATTGATTTAGGATATATATTCATTTCCTTTTACCTTTATTATCAATCCTTTTTTAATTGGTAAGAGAATAATTATTTACTAGCTTGCTTAGTGGACAAGTTATTATTAGGGTTGTAGGAATCTTATTTAAAGGACTCTTTTCTTGGATGTGAAACAGTTGATATTGAATAAAAAAAACATCGTATTTGAGATTTAATCTCTTTTATCTTCTTCCACTAGTATGCTTCCCTACATCATTACCCTCTCCTGAAAAGGATTCACCCTCGAACCAGAAGGAATCTCATCTCCAGTAGATGTGACACAAAGAAAATTTCTCCAGAGCTGGTCGGATATCGGTTGCGGATATTCATGACTGTCATGTTCACTACCTCCATAAAATATGTTGATAGAGTAAACTGGACATTAATTGGTTCTGCAGCACAACACCTATAAACTCTTGATGTTTGCTCACGGAGATGATCATAAAACTGACCCCTCAAACCTGTCCAAGGGTTTTGGTTTTCCAAATAAAAACACCCTAGCTCTGTATTATATATAATTAGCCAATCGTGCCTTATGATTGAGATCCATTAGTTCACCATATAGTAAAATATGATCATGAACCAATCTAGGCTTTGAATAAGAGATATACATATGGTAGTCCCATTTAGGATTAGGAATCTCCTGCACATAACCACTAGGAAATGTTTTGAGTAACGGGACCTGCCATCCCTCTCAGCGCATTGTAGTCTGGATGGTATCCGCCACAGGTATCCCCACAGAACCAACCTCAGGATTGAATCCATAATGGAAAATTTGTCCTGAGGAAGTTCCCAGGGTTTTGGACTTTATAAGGGCCATCCTTAAAACTCCCTTTCCCATCAGAAAATTCGTCCCACAAAGACCTTTAATGTAAACACGAGTTCCATCCAAATATGTGCTTGGGTCCTTCACTTTTAGGTTAATCTCTTCCACGCAATTGTTATAGCTGGTAAAACTTTCAAAAAGGGGATGAAGTCGTAAATCCTCTTCTAGAGCTTCATCGCGTGGAGTTTGTTCGTTACCTCCAACCCACAGAGTAAGGCACGGATGATTCCTTAGCAACTTCACTGTTTCTCTTTCACACAGTAGAAAAAGGTCATGGTCCAAGGGACCATTGGGATTGGACAAGGGGTCACCTCAACCATCACAGTCTCCAGTAATCCAAAATTCTAGCCAAGCCAAAAGATCATAAATGTCACAGTAATGATAAAACTCTTTGACAAAGGAAACACGCTAACAACGTAGGCGAGGTGACTAGCAATGAAAGAGACTGAGGGGACGCTGAAGGCACCGGATGAAGGATAATCTTGACACCCTGAAAGAGAAAACCATATGTATTGAGGCGACCATCATGAACAATGAGACGATCATATCACCAAGGACGACCAAGCAGTAGATGACACACATCCATAGGAACCACGTCGCACCACGTCAAACCCTTGTAATTGGTACCAATTGAATAAGAGAACATCACACGACGATTTACTGTAATGGAATTGCCACGTTGGATCCACGCCAAACGTATACGGTGAGGATATGGCTTGCTAGGGAGATTGAGCTTCTCTAAGCTTCCAATGCCACAACATTTTCGCAAGAGCCCGAGGCGATAATAATCGGTATACTTTACCACTAACCGTACACGTCGACTCAACAATATGAGGATATTTCACCATATCCTCTAATTACGTATGAGGCGCTAAACAGAGGATCGATGAATTACCAATGTTGGACCGACATCCCTAGTAAAATGTTCTTCAACCAAGTGGTCCTCGACATCAAACACAGGTGGGCCTTCATAGTCGGTCAACACCTGATCATCCACGAGCAACAAAGGTATGTGTCCCGTCTTCGGGCAAGAAGCTTGACGATGACCCAGCTCGGCGCACAAAAAGCAACATAAGTTTGAAGGCGGTTTATGACCCTACATCCCGTCTACCCGCTAGGGACCACGATCAATGAGACTAGTCCCCGCGGGCCGAATAGGCGGAACCAATAAGACAGAGGACGTCCGCGACAATTGTTGCTCCACGAAAAGAGCCCATTGGTGTGCATCAAGAATAGACTCAGGCACAAAAAGATTCAAAGTATCTTGGAAGGGGAATCGTGAACCCCAAATATATCGAGAAACTAATTGGTCAGTCGTCTCACGAATATCCACGCGCGTGAGAAGTTGGTAGAATTCCTCGGTGTAGTTATCAATAGTGCGAGTACTTGACGGAGATTTTGCAAACGCTAGTACAGCGTACAAACATAATTATATGGCAAAAATTTAATTCCACATGTTCATGAAATTTCGCCCAAGTCGTGATTTTTGGCTTACCATGTTATCGCGTCTGTTTCAACTAGTGCCACCAAGCCGAAGCACGGCCTTGAAGTCGGGTCGTGACAAGAGCAACCTGACGATTATTCGGTACCTCTTTAAAATCCAGAACATTTTCCATAACATCAATCCAATCTGAGAAATTCGCACCGAAAATTCTGGGATATGGATCTTAAACCCTGGCTCCCACCTCCGATCTTCGAAAAGATGCACATAGTCCCGTGCTGCAAACGGCACAAACACATTCACCATGGAGATGGTGTCGTCGGGGTCATCATCACCAAAACACGATTGAGGGGATCGGGAGCGGGGCGCCCCACAGAGACCCTGACCACGTCCACCGTGGCCTCCACCACGGCCACCATAGACAAATCTGTCCGGCAACTGTCACGCTTATAGTGCCTGGATGCAGCCAGCGGCAGTCAAATTTCCTCCACAATTTCCCCTAAAGCCTCGAATTAGTGGCCTAACACGGCGCTCGCTGCATCACACCTGTCGTCCACAACATTGTGTCATTTGGAAGGTATGACATATGAATCGTATCTAATCTGTTGATACTACCTGACGTAACAAAAATGTATATCGACAAGAGAGATTGAGAGAGAATTATCGCTTTTTCTTATTTCTTAATAAAAAATCCACACCCTCAAGACTATAAGATGAAAGTCTTAAATACTTCCCTCAAAAGAGACCTAACAAAATAAAAATACTGACTAAATAAAAATACTTAAATAACAATGAAAATATCTTATGCGTCCAGGAGACTAAATGGAAGGGTCAGAAGACGAAGGAGGTGGAGGATACTGGCTTCAAGCTTTGGTTCACTGGAGCTTCATCGAGTAGGAATGGTGTAGGCATCTTGATCGATAGGAGCCTTAAGGATGGAGTTGTAGATGTTAGGAGGCAAGGCGACCGGATTATCCTAGTCCGATTGGTAGTTGAAGATTTGACCATGAATGTGATCAGTGCCTATGCCCCTCAGGTAGGTCTTAGTGAGAGCGCAAAAAGACAATTCTGGGAGGATCTGGATACCTTGGTTAGTACGGTGCCTGTCAGCGAGAAGCTCTTCGTAGGAGGAGACCTGAACGACCATGTGGGTGCGACTAATGTAGGTTTAAGAGAGTGCACGGAGGGTTTGGGTATGGTAGTAGGGACGAAGAGGGGGAGGGTGTGTTGGACTTTGCGATGGCCTACGACTTGTTGATAGCGAACACCCTCTTTAGGAAGAGGGAATCTCACCTAGTGACCTTCCATAGTGGACGACACTCAAGTCAGATCGACTTTATCCTTGCAAGGAGGGAGGATAGACGCGCTTGCTTAGATTGCAAGGTGATAGCTGAGGAGTGTGTTGTCCCCCAGCATAAGTTGGTGGTGGCGTATTTTCGATTCCGAATACGTGTCCATTGGGACAAACGTGCTAAGACCGTGAGAACGAAGTGGTGGAAGCTTAAAGGGGAAGCGGCGCAGACGTTTAGGGATAGGATTAGGTGAGGGGCCTTGGGAAGAAGGAGAAGATGCAGATGACATGTCGCTAAAGATGGCAACATGTGTACGGAAGGTGGCTGCAGAAGTACTTGGTGTGAGTAGGGGAGGCAAGCAGGAAGCGAAGGACACTTGATGGTGGAACGACAAGGTGCAAAGGGCTATTCAGGAGAAGAATGAGTGTTTCAAGCGTCTCAACCTTGACAAGAGTGCAACCAACATTGAGAGCTATAAAATAGCGAAAAGGGCTGTAAAGCGTGCCGTGAGTGTAGCGAAGGGTCAGGCTTATGATGACCTTTATCAGCGCCTAGGCACGAATGAGGGGGAGAAGGACATTTATAGGATGGCTAGGATTCGGGAGAGGAAGACAAGGGACATCATCCAAATCAAATGCATCAATGATGGGTCGGATCAGCCACTGGTGAAGGATGGGGAGATCAAGGACAGATGGCGAGAGTACTTCGACAATTTGTTTAATGGGGAGAGTGAGGGTCCTACCCTGGAGTTGGAAGACTCATTTGAGGATACCAATAGACGCTTGATGAGGAGAATTCGGGAGGCAGAGATCGGAGAGGCTATGAAGAGGATGAATCGAGGTAAAGCAATGGGCCCTGATGGTATCCCCATTAAGGTGTGGAGATGCTTGGGCGCCAGAGCGTTAGTATGGCTAACTAAGCTTTTTAACCTCATTTTCCGGTCAAACAAGATGCCTGATGAATGGAAGAAAAGTACTTTAGTACCGATCTTCAAGAACAAGGGAGATGTTCAAAGCTGTGGTAACTACCGTGGGATTAAGTTGATGAGCCATACGATGAAGCTCTGGGAGAGGGTTATCGAGCATCACCTACGACGAGTGACGAGTGTGACCCAAAACCAATTTGGGTTTATGCCTGGAAGGTCGACCATGGAGGCGATTTTCCTAATACGAAAGTTGACAGATATAGGGACCAAAAGAATGACTTGCACATAGTCTTTATCGACCTTGAGAAGGCTTATGACAGAGTACCGAGGAATGTCATGTGATGGGCCTTAGAAAAGCACAAAGTCTCATCTAAGTACATTACCCTCATCAAGGATATGTACAAGGATGCGATGACGTGTGTCCGAACATGTGGGGGCGATACTAGCGACTTTCCAGTTAAAATAGGACTACACCAGGGGTCAGCATTGAGCCTTTATTTATTTGCCTTGGTGATGGATGAGGCCACAAGGGACATACAAGGTGATATACCTTGGTGTATGCTCTTTTCTGATGATGTGGTGCTAGTTGACGAGAGTAAGGCAGGGGTAAATAGGAAGTTAGAGTTGTGGAAGGACACGTTAGAGTTGAAAGGCTTCAGACTTAGTAGGACGAAGACCGAGTACATGACGTGCGTTTTCAGCATGGCTACACGTGATAATGGTGACGTTAGCCTTGACGGGCAAGCGGTGGCCAAGAAAGAGACTTTCCTGCATTTAGGATCGATGCTACAAAAGGATGGCGGCATTGATGTTGATGTTAGGCATAGAATTGCAACCGGTTGGTTGAAATGGCGTCAAGCTTCGGGCGTTCTATGTGATAAGAGGGTGCCACAAAGGCTAAAAGGTAAGTTCTATAGGACGGCGATCCGTCCGGTGATGCTATACGGTCCTGAATGTTGGCCTACAAAAAGGAAACATGTCCAACAACTAAGTGTAGCAGAGATGTGTATGTTGCTTTGGTTCTGCGGGCACACAAGAAGGGATAGAATTTGAAATGAGGATATTCGAGATAGGGTCGGGGTGGCTCCAATTGAGGAGAAATTGGTTCAACATCGGCTGAGGTGGTTCGGACATGTCCAACGGAGGCCTCCTGATGCACCAGTGCGTAAGGGAGTTCTACAGCGGGTCGCTGATGTAAAGAGAGGTAGAGGTCGGCCTAAACTCACTTGGGAAGAGTCGGTTAAGAGAGCCCTTAAAGATTATAATATCTCCAAGGATTTAGCGGTGGATTGGAGCGCTTGGAGGCTAGCAATCAATGTGCCAGAACTGTGACTTTTGCTCCTTTCTCTTTTTGCTCCAATCTCTCCCTTTTGTTTTGAACCATTTTTGTGTTTCTCTTACCATTGGTTCTCTTGGGTTTCATCTCTAGCCTACCCCAACTTACTTGGGACTAAAAGGCTGAAATAAAAGTAATAAATAACTAGATTTATGATGTCAAATGAACATTGTTTGTCCTAAAAAGTCTAAGCAATCTCATATCCTCATCTTACAAATCAGAATATGGCATTTTTCTTTATTTGCTTGAGAAATTAAGGGTGTGAAGGGTTTGATGTATAGAAGGTGACATTACATAAGTGACAAAATTTTCTACCCTTCATTTAATAATTTAATAATGCATTCTTTGACTAGGTTACCGCTATGATATAATGTGTAGCTAGACATGGCCAAAACCCGGTTCTGGGTCAGACTCGCCGATTTTGGGTAGTTTGATAGAAGACCCTGAATAGACCCGACTATATGTATTGAACCGGCCTGAACCGCGGGTTCATGCCCGGTTCTGGGTTGGTTCCGGCGGTTCTGGGCCTTTTCTTTGTTATTATTTATTTTTTTCTTTTTTTGTTAAAAACTGACCGTTGAATTTCCAACAGTCAGATTGATCCGAAGGTCCAGATTCAACTTGGCCGTCGGGTCCCCAACAGTCGACCTGGCTTTTCCCGCCAGGCCCGTACAAAAAACTTAAAAAAATGATGAAAACCCGGACCCGTTTTCTGGCCCAAACACGATGGATCGAGAAAAAAAAATAAATAAATAAAAACCGCTTGTAGCACAAGTCCAGTTCAATGAACCGTATATACGGCCGGTTGCTGGCCGACTCGGACCATGTCTAGTGTAGGAAACATTTCAGTTAGTTAGGAGTTCAATTTAATATTTTATTCTTGCTAAATTAAAAAATAAATAATAAACAAATAATTCAATGCTATCACACGGGAATGGCAGATACGGACGAGCGAAAAATGAAACTTATCTCAACAGCAATTGCTACTAGCAACTTGATTAATATATATAACTTGGCATTAT